ATTTTATTTGCGTCGAATAAATTTTCAACGTTGCTACCATATAGAACCGCTCTACCGCCCGATTAAAATGCCACAAAGCAACAAGCCCTTGATTAAAAACAATCCATTAGAAAGTCCGGATTCAGATAAAGATCAGCAACCTGAGTTAGTATTTCTGAAAAAACAGTAGAACAACTAAACCATAAAACACTGACGATTCTAACTTATCTATTAATTAGGAAACAACAGCCTACAAATCCAAGAGAATGGCCCGTAAGTCTAAAGTATGTTCTCCCTTCACGCTAGCCTTTTAATGCAGCAAGGAAGTTTTATTTTGTTTATTATGTCAAATTAATTGGCAAATGATTTATGCTCTTATTTGTTAATAGAGAATATGTACAGCGAAGTTTCAACGAGGCACCACATAATATCGATGCCATAGAAAGAGAGCTGAAAATAATAATTTCTAATAAAATGTCAGAGGGTTTGTTATATGAGACAGATTGGACAAAAGTGGATTTACCACAGAGTTGCAAGTCACCAAGGTTTTATTCATACTGAATGCGTCTTCAAACCGAAAATATTAATGAATTTGTTATATTCATTGCATTGTTTTTTCTTATTTTTATGTAAACCAGGGAAAACGAGAAGCGAAAAAAGTAGGTCAATGCGAATGAAGTTTTGTTAATAGTGGGAAAAAATTGACATAATACTTATTATACATATGGAATTTAATTATATTTTTGTATAGTGCATTCGCTGGTCATTCTCCACCTGACCGTCATTCAGCTGATAGTGATGAGTGTAGTGAATCCCAAAAGAGGGAAAAACGTGCAAAGCGCTTTCAGGAACATGAAAGAATTAATAGACCGCGTTGGGAGCCACCTGTTAAGGTGTGCATTTATTCAGTTGTTTGGCTTAACTTATGAATGGAATTAATTTAACTAATCATAATCATTTTAAGCAACAAGATGACATAGATGTAGAAAAAACAGTTGTGGTGGGGACTTGCACTCAATTGGAAAAGTCATATTTACGTTTGACAGCCGTGTGTATACAAGTGCAAATTTCTTTATGCTATCAGTTTGTTTCAAATTTTATTAACCTTATCTTATCAATACTAATTTTGTTCAAGGCACCTGATCCCTCAACAGTTAGACCTTTACGCATATTAAAGCGAACTCTTGAATTTTTAAAAGCAAAATGGGTTGAAGATCAAAATTACACGTATATTTGTGATCAGTTTAAATCCTTACGTCAGGATTTAACGGTTAGCTACTATTTGTTACATGTATTTCGTGTTTATTTTGAACTGTTTTTAATAAGATATTCTATGAAACCAAGGTTCAACACATCCAAAATGAGTTTACCGTGAAAGTGTATGAGACACATGCTCGCATTGCACTTGAAAAGGTAATCTGTGATGCTACGATCGATATAATAAACGTTGAATATACTCATAATATTATAACGAATCCATAATACATAGAGCGATTTAGGTGAGTATAATCAGTGTCAAACGCAACTAAAAGAACTTTATAGATTAAATATTCCAGGTTCAGTTATGGAGTTTATGGCATATAGACTACTTTACTTTTTATATACACGAAATCGATCAGGTAATATTATCTTTCGAGATGATGTTTGGTCTAATAATATTGTGAAACTAAACATAATATTAAAAAATTTTTAGACATAAATGCACTGATTGCAGAACTTACTGACGATATGAAAAATGATGAGGCAATTAAGCATGCATTAGAGGTTAGATCAACTCTGGCTACGTCAAATTTCCATAAATTCTTCCAATTATACTTAAAAGCACCTAACATGGGAGCATATCTCATGGACCATTTTGTTGAAAGAGAACGAATTTCCGCTCTGCAGATGCTATGTAAATCGTAGGTGTCCGATATTATCATGAGGGTTGTGATAGCTATTTCTTAATAATCCTAATTTTGAGATTTCTTTCTTTCTTTTTTACTAGATTTCGTCCAAATTTGGAACTTGAGTTCATTTGCTCCGAATTGGCTTTTAGCAATATGGAAGAATGTGTTCAGTTTTTGACAGAGCACGATGCCCGTACTTACATTTCAGCTGATATGACTTTTGACACAAAAAACGCGTTGAAATCGATTGAAGCCTGCACCAAAAAATTTGAAAAAGTTGACATTAAGGGTCAAATTTAATTTGAAGGGTACTAATGTGTATGAATTGATTGCTTTAGCGTTGTTACCGGTTTTACTTTATACATACAATATTACAATGATTACAAACCTAGAGTAATTAGCGAATTTGCAACGTTAAGGATGTAATTTTTCACGTGGCCTTGAACATTTAAATCAATATAGAGAATTCAAAATTCTTGTCCGCTATTATTTATAAAAGCAAATCGAGTATAGTTATAAGTGAATAAAATATTGTAATAATATAAATATTAAAAGATTTTATACAGAACATACTGTATTCTTTAACCAGAATTTACATCTTAAACTGTCTAGCAGGTTAAATTTGAATTTTTTTTTTGCATATTTTTTTTCTAATTACTCAAAATTTTCTTAAGCTTAACTTTTTTTATTTTAAATTAAATAAAATTAAGGTGTAATTAATTATAATTAATTATAAATTTATAATTTGATTTTATTATTAAGTTTTTGTATATTTGAGTTAAAAAAATTGTTCACTTGTCATGAATCAAATTTGTTTTTTTATTAATAAATTTTAAGAATTTTATTTAAGTTGTTATATAATTTTATTTTATTTTTTTGCAATTTAAAACAATTAGGTATTAAATTAATGTATTATTATGCAAAATTGTTATTAATTAAAGCATAATTCTAATTTTAAAACAAAAAGTTGCAAAATAAATAAATAATAATAATGCAGTATAATATATTTGTTATTTATTGTTATTTAAAAATTATTGTACAAAATCAATAAAAAATTTATTAAAATAAAATTTAAAATTAAAGAATTTAATAATATAAATAATTTTTTAAATTTTTTATAATAAGCTTTAAAAATTAACTAGTGCTCCAAAAAGTATCAAACCAGTATTAAAGTGATATCAAAATGGTACCAATATATAGTAAATTTAATAGAATTGTAACTACTTATATGAATTTATAATAAATTTAAATATTGAATTGATATTAAATTAATATCAAAGTAATATTGTTAGAAGCCCTAAAATTGACTTATAAATCAATAGTACAATATATAATATTCTTAGGTCTTCAAATACATATTCTTAATTTAATATCTATAGGGACAAATAAATTTATTTTTTATTTATGGATTTATCAGTTTTTTTATAAATATCATATTTTAAATATTCAAATCTTTATTATATTAATTGAAATTTGATTATACAGCATGTCGAATTATTACCGAATTTTTAAATTTTTATAATAAAATTTAAGCTGAATTTATGCTGTTTGGTACCACTCGGCATAAAATCAAATATAGATATTCATTAAACATTTGTTAATAGTTCGACTATAATATTATAGTATTCGGAATATAAATACAAATATTTGATAAATAATTTAGCCATAATTAACATATTTTATGTTTGAATTTTCATATATATTAGCAATTAATTTCATTATTTAAAAATAAAAATAATTAATAAAATCCAACAATTATTTATAATTATAATTAACAAAAAATTTATTAAAATATGATAATAAAATAATATAATTTGAATATAACAAAAAAATCACTCATATAAACTAAATTATTTGTTATCTTCTGTTTCTTCTTCCTTTTCTATCACTTCTTTTTCTTTTCCTTTAATTGATCTTATTCTAGGTGACCTTCTTAATATTCTTTTTTCGATTGTTTTTTTCTTGCCGATTTTTATACCTTCTACTACTTTCACTTTAGCAACTGCCTTTCTAACCTTACCTATTATTGCACTTTCTCCAGTTTGATGCTCCTCCGAATATATTGATTATTCTTTGACAACCTTTTGTTTTTTATATTTTTCTATCGATTCTTCAGCTTCTTCTTCTGAATAATAAGCCCAATTCAGCAAATCTTTGGATAGTATTACATCATAATAAGTCACAGTCTCATAAGTTCTCTTATGAGTTATTTTTATATATTGAATTTCTACTATATGTTTGTTCAAAACTTCTCTTAGCAATTTAGTTAATTATATAATAAATAAATATTCGGTATATAAATATTCAGCAAATAAATATTTGACTTTAATGATATTTAAATATCTTATAAGAACACCAACTATAATTATATATGACTACTTTTCTTTTATTGCTTTCTAAATCAGTTTCACTTTCTTTAGGTAAATGGATCTTTGTTTCTTTAAGGACATCAAACAATTTATCCCAATATTTTGCTATTTCTTTAGACTTGTTTTTAATTAATGATCTTGCAGCTTTAATTCTTCAGCCCCTTTTTTTTATTATTCGTTAAAAATTAGTATATGTAAAATAATATATATATATAAGTCTAATGTTCTTACCTCACTTAACCGACAGTTTGCATACAAATGTCTATTGTCTGCATCTAATTTTCCTGATTTTGATTTTAGATACCTTCCTCTTTGGTGACGATATAAGGCACCCAACCAGTCATATAGTTATCTTTATGAGGGATTAAAGTTTGGAGCCATTAAACTCAATAATTCGGATATTAGCTTGACTAATATTTTTTAATTTTTAGAACTCGAAAAAACTTTGTTCATTCTTAGTTTATAATGTTTAGGGAGTGTCTTTACAATATATTTTATTTCATCTCTTGTTTTTTTTTGGATCTGTCTCATAAACTGCTTTACTCTTATCTTTAGTATCTCTAATTGATCGAAACCTTTGTTCTTGTGGACTTAACCAATGTTCAATACTTTTATAATTTTCAACATTTTTATAATCTTCGATATCAATATTTTTAAAATATTTGGCATCAAAATCTTTGATACTATTATTATCGGAATTTTTATCTGGAACTTCTATTGGTACTGCAGATATTCCAGGTGATATGGATCCTTCAGATAATCCAGATCTTGGAGATATCATAACAATTGGATTCTTTTCCAAATTTGTTATTTTTTCCTTGAATTTTTTCTCTTGGGTGACAAACTCTTCATTTATGTTTTTTTTTTTTAACTTTCGGCCAAGCCAAATTCACTTGTACTATTAAATTTATTCTTTGAATATATTTCTATACTCTGAAGTAAATTCTGTTATATAACATATATGGTGAAAGCTATCTATGATAGTGGCTTGTATTGCCGGAACTTGTCTCTAATTCCCTTGGGAGATTAGCTACAAAGGCTCAAACCAGCATGCCTAAGCTACATTGGTGGTCTTAAATGATTTTTCCTGTATTAATTCTATTTTTTTAACCATGAAGTGTTATAAGGGAAAAGTGAAAGAGGAACAGGAGATAGTATCTATTTGGTGAATAGAATCAGGAAGAGATACCAGATACCATGGGAAGAGGATCATCAAGCCTTCTTTTTCCTAAATTCAACACCTCCTATACCTTTTTGTTTTTCCTGCTTCTGGCAATCATTATAGTACCAACCGGATGATTGTTATGCCATAACACCTTTTCTGAAGATCACAATCTTAATGCCTATCGGATTTGTATATAAATAGGCTTCTTATAAGAAATGATACTTAGTAGATCATGGCACCAGATACCATATTAATTCTATTTAATTGCCTTTACCTGAAGTTGAACTGGTATCTTGTGATTTGATCTGTGGAGCACTGGCCACTGTGCTATAGACCTACAGATCAACTCTCCATTTATATATTCTAAAGATTTTATTGTATTTTCTAAAGCATTGATCTTGTTTTTTAATTTGATATTCATTTTTTTTAGCTCTTCAACTTCTGTTTGTAAATTTTTAATTTGTTTATCTAAATAAATCGGTTGATAGTAAAGGTAAGATTTATTTAATAATTTGACATTAATTTAATTTTGTACCTTTTTTGGCCATTATATCAACTTCCCATGCTAGTAGGAAATGGATAGATGATGATGATGATAATCTTTTAAGCAATTGCTATACCGAAATGGAGGTTAATGAAAATTCTATACCAAGTGATATTGAATGAGACCTTACTTCCTAAATTTCTAATGAAACCTAGAAAGACTCTGAAGGTTGCTGTAAATGCGAAGATTGCCATAATGGTGAAGGTTGTCATGATTAGTGATCTTAGTTGGTTAAAATTTTTCCAATCGATTAGTTGTTTTAATTATAATCAACTAGTTGCAACTAAAAATCCCTATACTCTGATTGATTAATTCTAAACTTTCCAACTAATAATTTGTAACACTAGCCATGATTGCAAAGGTTGTCATGATTGCGAAGGTTGCTGTAATTGTGAAGGTTGCCATGATCATGAAGGTTGCTGTAATCGCGAAGGTTGCTGTGATCGCGAATATTGATCTTAGTTGGTTAAAATTTTTTCAATTGATTAGTTGTTTTAATTATAATCAACTAGTTGTAACTAAAAATCCCTATACTCTGATTGGTTAATTTCAAACTTTCCAACTAATAATTTGTAACACTAATCACAAAGGTTGCTGTGATCATGAAGGTTGCCATGATCATGAAGATTGCGAAGATAATGAAGATTGTGAAGATAGTATAGGTTGCAAAGGTTGTGAAGATTGCGAAGGTTGTAAATATTGTGAAAGTTGTAAAGACTGCAAAGATAACAAAAGTTGTTCTCTATAGGATTTTTTTTCCAAAGTTTTTCTTGTTTGTTTAGATATTTTTGATTTTAAATTTCATTAAAAAAAGAGATATTTATATAAAATTATTCATATTATAAAATTATATTTTTAATATATTATATGATTTTTTAACTATTTGCTTTTTATATAATATAATATACTCATATTATATTACATTTGTATTATATTATACTTTTATTGCATCATGGTTTGGCAATATGAAATTTAAATAACTTTTTTTATTTTTAGTCATTTTAAATATCAAGAAAGCATTTAATTTCAGCTTTACTTGATGAAAGTTCAAGAAAAGAATCTAAAAAAAAAATTC